TTACAAACAAAAAAAAGTATTGACTATATTCAATAGCCTAACAGGTTATTCCAGTTAAATAGAAATACCTCGTTTGAATGAGCTAATTACAATAAACCTATTGCTTAGAAAACGTTAAACTATCTCACAGGAATTATGTTCTCATATGACATAATTTAGTGAGCAAAATATTATGTGAAAACTCTTGAATCCGTCGCTAAAGCCTCCTAAGTTTGTAATTAACTCTTTGTTTTATAGATTGGTTTGAATAATAAGTGACTATAAAGTTCTTTCTGCACGTGAAATTTTTATTTTATTAGAAATTTTAACTAAGAATTAAACTATTAACAGTTCAAACATAGAAAAATTTTATTGTCTCTTTGTTTGATTATATAATTATGACACAATTGTTCAAAATCAATTATTTTTTTTAATTTGTTGATGATGTTCATATTAGTTTGCAAAATTTTAAGACAAAGTAAAGATAGGCTTGAAATATATTTGATATTTTTCTTTAAAATAAATCGTACAACATTTTCTGGTATGACACCATTTGTACAATCCACCTCGAAATATTTCATACGAGGACATAGATCAAGAAGAAACTGAACTTGTGCTAAATCATTCATTTTCTGAAGATTGACTTTAGTAATTTTGTTTTTATCTGATAACAAATGAAGAGTTCTTGTTTCTTCAATAGGTTCACATCTTGGTTCTAACATCGCCAAAGATGATATTATTAATGAATCAAGATTAGGTAAACATTTCATCAGGTCGATTAATGTATCAATGAAAACTTCGCTAAGAGTAATATTCAAACATGTAATTTGTACCGCAGTTAAAATGACACCCACCATATCGGAAAAAGACTCATGATAGTTAGTATTAGAAAGATTGACGACTGTTAATTGATTAGTTTCAGAAAGCATCATAGAAGTAGCAATAGACTCTTGTTGATTCGAGATGATACTATGTTGTATAATATTTTGAACAATATCATCATTGAAACTTTCATCGTTTTCTTTAACTTTCTGATAGACCTCTTGAGATTTCCTAAAACACAGAGACAAAAATTATTTAAAACAACGTCTTTTTGAATAAACCTGTAAGGAAAAATGGAATAGACTATAACATCACTGTCGTAGAAGTTTCTATCAATAGAAATTCTAAAAAGCCATTGTCTCTTTATCCAAAATAATGAGTTGAATCCATCAAGTCTTTCATGGTAAACAGTTACCTTCAACATATCATCAATAGATTCTTCGTATTTAAACTTGAATATATTCAAATAAAGTAAATGTTGCGAAATTGTTCGTTCCCATCGATTACAATCCAAATAAGTCACATCTCTGAAAGTATTAATACGTAATACTTGTAATTGAGGTGATACGTTAATGAGAAACATTTCTAATTCATCAAAAGCTGCATAACATTTAGCAATGGAGATATGAGTCAGACTAAGCATTTTGCTAAGTGCATACTTAACGATTTTTTTCTTTGATTTATTTACTTGTTGACCAGTTAAACGAAAGAGTTGAGGTGTGTGTAAAATTATAGCAATTAATTCATCGAAACTACAGCAATGATCAATAACGAGATATTTAATACTACTAAATTGCTCATTGGTTGCTATCGATAGAGGAATGGATAATTTGATCGTGAAAAATGACAATTTATAGTACTTTAACATAGGTAACTTGAAAATTCTTTGATAGATATTGCTAATCTCTTTGGGATCATCAACATAATTGATTATCAATGAGAATAGACGAGGTAAATAAATCAAACTTGTAAGAAGAGGTACGAGTTGATTTAGTTTGATATTATCTAAGACCAGTGACTCAAGCCGACTAAATGATGAATCAATGTTAAATAGTGTCAAATCTAAATTATATTTATGAAGATTGGGCCAGCAAAGTGAAATAATTCGATCTTTGTTTGGAGCGACAATACAAGTAGAACAATATTGTAGAACAGGTTTCGGATACAGACGAAGATCAATTTTCAGTTGAAGAGATGAAGAAGTGAGTAGAGCTTGAAAACGAATATTGAGATTTGAAAATGCTTGAAATAATTCACAGCCATGAAAATAATCGAAAATTTCATAGAAAAGTTCATTTGATAAATTTTCCAGACGGTTAATTATTTTTCTATAAAAGAGAAAAATAAATAAATGAAGTTAAAGATATATTTAATTCTTTCTACTTGTCATGAGGTGTTGCTTTTTAAATAAAGATAAATAAAAATATATAATATAATGACGTTAATATGTAGAACTTACTTCGATATTTCTTTGCTTTCTCTTTGGATGATTTATTATGTTTCAGGTGTTGTTTAACTTGAAACATATGTGTTTGAAAATTAAATTTTATCTGAAAGAATTCTTCATTTTATATAATATAATAACTATTTTCAATGGTATCAAATTGTTATCTAGAAAGAAATAACGATCATTTGCCATTATCTGATTTTGCTAAGGTTCCCTGCGTACGTTTATATAAACAAAGGAAGAAAAAAAGATAACCTATGTCTGTATTGCTTATGTGATGTACTTATGAATGAGTCGTCAATTATAATGTTTTTCTTTTTCTTTTTTTTTCTTTCGAATATTCTCCATGATTCATCTACGATGCTTTTTATTCGAGTATGCAAGACAAAATCCTTGTTAAGTCATGTCGTCTCTTTAATATTAGCTGCAACACAGTTATGCCACAGTGGTGATCATATGGTGACCCGTAATTGCAAAAAAAATGACAGCTACTGTAGAAAAGTCGTAGTTATGTACGACTGGATTTTTTCATCGCAATTGCGTCGCGATCGAAAGCATGGATATACGCTCCACGTCTTAGCAAAAATAAAGTGAGGACGCGCAACAAATATAGTCTAAAGCGTTCACACTATCCATCAGATTTAGTCTAAGATATCTTGAGCATCCTTCAAGAATAATCGGCTTTTCGAGGAATATTCTTCAACTAGGTTTGGACTAGTCCAAAACTTTTTCGCATTTTCATGTTTAGACTAGGCAGGAGAATAGAAAGGCGAGAAACAAAACGAGACAAAAAGGAGAATTCGAACATTTCATCCGACAGCATTTGATATCGGATCGACTTTATGATAGGAAACTAAGTTAACCGAAAAAAACCGAGTTGACTTGTCTGAAACGTCGTCAACGTGTTTGATAGATCCATATTTTTATATATTTCATGATATTTCATGTATAGCTTCGCTATATTGTTTGCTTCAGAATGTTTATCGAGGAACTCTCTGAAAGATAAAAGCTTGCATTTTTTTCTACTAAAATTTAAAAATTATATTGAAGCACTAGAATATAGAGAAAAGACAAAGTATTTTCATTGCTTTTCAACAAAAAGTATCTATTAATGATCTTTAAAATTTATTAGGATACAAAATGAACTAGAAATAATTTAGTTTAGAAACATTTCTGATGTTTTTATGCTATAATTTCATTTTAGTTTAAATACGAATTCTGGTGCTTTATATTTAAGAATATATAAATTACATAATTTCAGTTTATTTTTAAGTTTAACTTGCAAATTTTTTTAAAATCTATGGAAACTCAAATCATGATGTGAAAAAAATGAGTCTTTTAAATTTATATTATTTCACTAATTCGGTACTGTATGATAAAAATTTTTATTCATCGTGAAGTTTATGTTTAATCGATTTGGTGATTGATAAGTGACATATTGTGTACATGATGGAATCTAACATTCTTCTTTACACTTCTGTAATTTAAACTAGTTGGGACTTCATTAGTACATAAGACTACAATTCATCGCGTGCAGCGCTGTGGATATACTTGCTTTTGAAAGGAAGTAAGGATGATATTATTTGACGTATTTTTCTCAAAAGGATCAGATATAATAAACAGAATGACTGCCTTCGGTTAAGTAATCAGAACGTGAGATGATGACTACAAATGATTCCAGATTATTCATGTACTAAAACTTTTTGACAAAAATACAGCATAAGACACACCGTTGCGACTAGTTCGTTTACGTATTGTTTGCTTGTTAGACTCGATAATTGGAAAAACTTTGGACACAATTATGAAAATAAACAATGCTTTATTGTTTTAAAACATATGACGATCGAAAAATTCTCACAAATGAAAATTCATTAAAAAGAAAAGGAAAGAAAAGTAGTCAAAACATCTTTGATGCGATTCTTAAACAGCCCCACACATCATTGCCACGCTTTTATTCTACATTTGTGACTTGTTGATTGATGACTCATATCGGATGAGTAATTAAGCAATGCTTGCTAACTGTGAGACACATATACACAAAGAAAGAAAAATATGCGTTATTTAAAGATACAAAGACATTTTTTACATCAAGTCGACAAAGATAACAAGTTACTTTTGCCAAAGTAAGATGCTTTTGTGAAACACAATCTAAAAAAATGATGAAGTATAGGTAAAAAAATTTGACGTCTTCCATTGGACAGTACATCAATAATGTCCCGTTATATTATATGGGTAATAGTACATTTCGTCGCGTTCACTTGGTCGCAATCATTTCGTCGTACAATCACTTCGTTGCAGAACATTTTGTCGCGTTCTGTTTGTCGCAGAACATTTTTTTTTTCGTTCTGTTCGTTGCATCCTTCTCAATTAATTTTTTTTTGTTAAATAACTAATCGCAATAAAATAAAATAAATTAAAAATTCTGAAAGATGTATACGACAACGATAAACGATTGACTATTCTAAGGCATATTACTTTAATGAGCCTTATTCTCAATTCGCTTGTTGGCCCCCAACAAGCAAAAAGAAGGGGCCATATGATAACTTGCTTGTTGCTAAGGTCGGTCTCTTTTCTTTCATCTATCTTTTTCTTTTTCNGCTTGAAATATTTTTATTGTTTCTAAAAATTGATCAATAGTTTGAGATTTCCAATCATTAATAGATGAATTAATTTTAGCTTCAAATCGATTTTGAGAAATAACTTGTGAAGATAGAAATTGTGTTTGAAGAAATGTTTTTATAATCTATCATGGATGATTGAATTAGATGCAAGCTTTTATTTTCCTCTTGGATTATCTTTTAATTTTTCAAATTTAAATGAAAATTTTAGTCCACCGAATGAAACAATTGGAGCAATTATCAATAAACTTATGATTGATTCTTGGACATCGAATATTTCATTCTCTTCATATTATAACACATGTTCTCCATCACAGTATACGTATGAATTTATTAGTCGAAATGATTTATTCTTTTTTATAACAACAATTCTTGGTATTTTTGGTGATTTATCTCTGGGGTTAAAACTACTTACTTTAATTATTCTTCGACTTATTGAGAATACAATTAATAATAATTCTTTCAGTGAATTTATAACAATGATAAAAAGCTTATTTGTTTGTAATACAGAACAACGTATTATTAATCGATTTCATTTTGTTTTTCTTTTACAACTATTACGCTTAGTATTTATATTTTTTGCTTTTAAACCAAAATCAGTTACTGTCCAAATAATAAAACCATCACTTTCAAATTATAAAGATTTATTAAAAGATCATTCCTATTCTCTTCAATGTCCTTGTTCACAAGTATCCATTCCATATGAAACATTTCTTAATATTGAACCTCATTTTCATGATTTATGTTCAAGTCAATTTATTCTTGATGAATGCAGTTTTGTGCAAGATACAGTCACGACTTGATATAATTGTGCTAGAGAAAAAAAAATACAAGCAAAAAAACTCGAATCTGTCACTGAAATATCTTCAAATTCTGCATTTCTTTTTGTCTTAACCATTAGTACGAATAACAAGTGATTATGAACTTATTTCTACAGATAAAATGTATATTTCATTAAAAGTTTAATAAAACAAATAATTTATTATCAGTTCAATCGTAAATAAATTCTATTGTCTATTTGTTTGAGTGTATATTTCTGACACAATTGTTCAAATTCAATTATATTTTTTAATTTCTTCATGATATCAATATTCGTTTGTGACACTTTAAGACATAATAAAGACAAATTGGCAATATATTTGAAGTTTTTCATTAAAATAAATCGTAGAAACTTTTTCGGTAAGAGGTCATTTGTACAATCCACCTCGAAATATTCCATGCGAGGACAAAGATCAAGAAGAAATTGACCTTGTTCCAAGTCATTCATTTGCTTAAGATTGACTTTAGTGATTTTGTTGTTATTTGATAACAAACGAAAGATTCTTGTTTCTTCAACAGATAAATATCTTGGTTGTATCATTGCTAAAGATGGTATTATTAATGAATCAAGATTAGGTAAATATTTGATCAAGTCAATTAATGTACCAATGAAAATTTCATTGAGTGTAATATTTAAACAAGTAATCGGTAATATAGCTAAAATCGGACTAATCATATCAATAAATGGCTCATCATTGTCAGTAGTACTAGAGAGATCAGTAACGTTTAGTATAATAGAATCATCGTTTTTCTTGTATTCTTGAAAGTGGCCTTGAATCTTCCTAAAAAAAAAACAAATAAAAGTTATTTAGAACACACAAAATTCATTTGAATAAACCTGTATGGAAAAATGGAATATACAATAACATTATCATCCCAACAATCTGTTTCAATAGAAATCGTAAAGAACCATTTTCGTTTTATCCAAAATGATGAATTGAAATGATTAATTAATTCATGATAAGCAGTTAGTTTGAAATCTTCATCAATAAGTTCTTTGTATTGAAATTGAAATAGATCTAAATGAAGTAAGAATTGTGAAATAATTCGTTGCCATCGATCAGCATCTAAATAGGTCACATCATTGAAAGTATTGATGCGTAATACTTCTAATTGAGGTGATATCATGGTGAGAAACATTTCTAATTCATCAAATTCTGCATAACACTTTGTAATGGAAATACGAGTCAAACTGTATATCATATGAAGTGTATCTTTAACAATATTTTCGTTTGATTCATTCACTTGTTGACAAGTTAGACGACATAGTTGGGGTGTATATGAAAGTATAGCAATTAATTCATTGAGGCTACAACAATGATCAATAACTAAATATTTAATACTACTTAATTGCTTGTTACTAGCTATTGATAAAGGAATAAATGATTCAATCGAGGAAAATGACAATTTAAAGTAGTTTAACATGGGTAAATCGAAAATTATTTGGTATATATTGCTAATCATATTGAGATCATCATCATAATAGATAGTCAATGAGAATAGACGAGGCAAGGAGATTAAATTTATGAGAAGTAATTCGAGTTCATTGGCTTTCATATTATGTAAAACTAATGATTCAAGCCGACTAAATGATGAATCAATATTAAATGGTATAAAAGTTGAATTAAAAAGATAAAAATTAGCCAAAATAAGTGAAAAGATTCGATGTTTGTTCGGAGCAACAATGCAATTAGAACGATATTGTAGTATAGGTTCTGGAAGAAAAGAAAGATCAATTTTCAATCGAAGAAATGAAGAAGTGAGTAGAGAACGAAAACGACTATTAAGATTTGAAAATGCTTTATATAATTCACAAGCATCAAGATAATCGAATATTTCATATAAAAGTTCATTTGATAAATTTTCGAAAGAATTAATTACTTTTCTATAAAAGCGAAGAAAAAATAAATCGGTTTGTAACTACGAAATTTTTCTTACCTTTCATTATATATTGCTATATAAAAATAAATAAATAAATAGATCATATATTAAGTAGAATATGTATAACTTACTTTTTAATTTCTTGGTTTCTTCCTGAGAGAGGTCGCTGTTATTTAAATATCGTTTAACTTGAATCATTTTGGTTTGAATATAAAATTTTATCTGAAACAGTTAGAATCAATCTCATGACTATACTCATTTGTGAACGATTTTTTTTTCTATATATATATAGTCAGTAAGCATTTGTACTCATCTGGTTTTTATATGGTTCTTATTCTAATGTCGCGTGCAACCAAAAGGGGGAGAAAGCTAATGTGTGCAGTATTTATATGAAACAGTTATCGAGGAACCAGAAGCTTGTGCGTTTTCGTACTTTTTCTTCATTCTTCGTTGTCGATTATTTGCACTGACTCATTTGTACTGCTGGCAGTGTAAGTATGAAGAAGAGAGCAATTTTTTATTTAGTTGACTCTTGGAAAAAATGTAGGAAGTGATAATAAGAGAAGAACACTTGCATACGGTTCCCAAATGACAACTATTTCATTTTTATTATTATTGGGTTAAACTATTATTTATTTACTGTTCTGTGCGGTCAAAAGTTTGCCAGGCTGTAGTGCGATGAATTCAATCGTTTGAATGTTTTTCAGTGTAAACCGAGGAAGTCTTACAGAAGTTTTCAAGTTGACGTCGTGAGCGATTGATTTTGTCAAACTCATTTGATGTTCCTTCTTTTATCATACTCCACTGAAAAGTTAAGTTTTGCCTACAAAACGCTAAACTGTACGTAGTCTTTTAGAATCCTTATATATGATAGACGTTAGATTATGATCAAACAAGGAAGCATCCATCTACTGAAAGAAATCATTATTTATTTATGATGAATGTTTATTATATATTTCGGCAATATAAATTCGTAGTATCATACGAATGACATGGTTTATGAATCAATACATAATAATAATTATTTTTTTAGTGTATATTATGAATAGATATTATTTAACATACGTGTAGATGAACAGATGTTATATAGGTCTTCGACAAAGAGATGAAATACTTATAATCGTTTGGTCTCGAATTCAGATTGAAATTTTGATTTTTTTCAGTTTTGATATTTTTTGTATCTTTTTACGCAATAACAGACATTTACTATGCGTTATGGTTATGGACATATAGAGGACAAGACCCACCATAATGAAGCTTATTTTAGAACGTGACAACTGTTAAAAAGTAGAAGTCACTACTCAAACTAATACATATGTGACACTTGTCTCATCTTGGTATTACTGTTAAGTATCACTTATATTATTCTTGCTTGAATTTTGACTTATACGTAGTAGTTATCGTTTGCCAATAGTGATTTAATTATTTCTTATTAAATGTTCACTAGCAATGGTAATGAATGTGACGAAGATCAGTTAAGATGGCCAGAAAAACAACCATACTTACTCGCATGTAGATGCTAGCACAGTTTATTAACGATGGTCCTTTTGTGAAAGAAACCTATTTATTATATTAAGAATGACTGAGAAGTCAACAAAAGTGAAGACGATAATGATGTTGAGATCAAAATATGGAAAGATGATAATAGCAAATAAATTCCACTAAACACTAATGGATTCCAGCAAAAATGTCTTTCTAATAGTAAAGAAAAACTCATTAAAATGCCCATAACTCTTTAACAATACGTCACGGGTGTGAATTCTTTGAAACTATTCTTAGTTTCATCGAGACCAACTCGTAGCCATAATGTAAAGTTGAATGACATCTGACAGTTGAATATGTTTCCTCGTTAGCTATTACACTACTTGATAGACAATAAAGATGTTACTTTTCTGTATAAGTTCGTTGCCATCTATATGAAATATATATATATATTTGAAAAGCCTATGCCACACTATTTTGAACATATGTTTTCTTTCAATTTTTGCATAAGTTCAATTTAACGATCTGTTATTAATATTATACTGGATATAGTCTATTGTGTCCTCAAGCAAATACCCCAGTATAGTGACAAAGTAATAAAAATTCGTTCCAGAGAAAATAGTTACATAAACATTATTTCTGGATCTGAATTTGGAATCAAAAGACTATAATGGATTAATATTCCGTAACATTCGTAAAAGTTCAATTAACGTCCAAATTAAAATTCCATAATTTCTAAAAATCAAACGAATAATTTTAAATAGATTTAAAACAGATTTCATACGGTTAATAATTGATTTAGTTCGTTTCAAAGAAAGGTAAGATGTATAATGGATCTTTAAAACTGTAGATATAAGGATGAATTTGATAAGTGATTGTAACCCTCTTTTGTTTGCGTCCGTTAACTTTTATTTTAAGAGAGCCATCATTGCTTGATCCAAAATAGTATAAAGTTAATCTCGATGAATGACCGTATACGATATAAAGTTATTTGCAATTTTTCATACATAAAATCTATAGATTTAAATTCAAATATGGGCAATTGAAACATATAGTGAGAGATTCATTTTTCCCATCAATCAACATTTAAATATGTCATATTGCTAAACGATGAAATGTGTAATACTTTCGACTCAGAACATATTTCTCTAATAAATATTTCAAAATCTTGAAAGTTCAAATAATACTCAACAATAGACATATTATATATTAATATAAGTTTTTTCATTAATATTTTTGCAAAGTTTAATCAGGTTTCCAAGAATTTCTTTAAAGCAAGTCATCAAAATTGACGGGTATATGGAATAATAGGAAATAATCTATTTAGAGTACTTCTAATAAGAATATATTTATTATTATTAGCAATTAGCAATAGATTATGTTTTAGAGAAACTTCAAATAAGAGTTTTACGTATTTCAACAAATGTAAAAAGAATATTTGTTTATAGAAAAACATTGACATGATCTATAGGAGTAAGTGATTCGAACTGCATGAACAATGAATTTATAATATTTTGAGTTATAAGATATATTGAATCCTTCATATGCACAAAAAAATTTTATGAGATAATAAGATGTTTATTCTTAACAATGATTTTTTTTTTCATAATTTAAAAGTGATCAATATGAAAGAATAAATTTCATTGCTATAGACAAGCCAATGAGAAGACCTTTCAAACGTAAATTCAAGTTTGAAAAATAACGAGAGAGATGCATCGCATGCAGTCATCAATATTATTACAAATTTCAAAAAAAAACTATTTATTGATTTCCTATGAAAAACAATGTAGAATATACATTATGGAAAAAGTTCTATAATGCTTTCCTTTGTTTCAACGAATGATCCTAATGAGAAACTAAGAAATACATTATCCCTTCGGTGTCATGTTTGTCTTTTATTTCGGAATTTCTTTCTCCGAATCATAACAAAAATACGTAATATTTAGCTGTCATTGAGTGTGTAGATGTGATTACATTAGGAGATCTTCTTTTTGGGCACACCTCACTTACACGCAAGTGGATATGTATCAACTATATTCGCTCTTAATTATTATCCTGTAAAAGTGATAATGATTTAGTGCGGGACAAATTTATTCTCACGCCTATATGGATATCACATCTCAAAGATCTTTGAAAACGTACTCAATGATTTCCATTTTGAATTCTGTACTTGACACAGTCAATAAACTTTTTCATACAAGTCAAGAAACGAATTCTTAGTCAAAATGCACGAATCTATCGCTAACATATCTATGTGTATTTCTAAAATTCCACTTTGGATTTACCAGAAAACCAAATCCGAGAATCATATGACATTTGATAGAGTTCATCAAGATGTTCAAGACAAAATATACTTTCGACATGATACAAAGAATAAGCCGAATACTATGCAAAATTACCAAAGTTTCTTGAAAAAAACACTCTCCAAAAAGGTGTTTCTGAAGCTTTTCTTCTTAGTTAATTTTCTGCTGAAATTCTTTCAAAGTGTAATCATTCTATGATATGTTTGATTCTGTACAAGACATGGTCATGATATGATGTGATACACTTACTCTAAAGGGCAAAATATTAAGCAAAAAAAAACGAATCTACCATTGAATGATGCCAAGTGCTTAATTATTTAGTTTTTTTATACATTGGTTCGATTAACAATTAAATATGAAAGAAGTCGGCACGGCTAAATGGTTAAGACACTTGACACATACCCACCAGGTACTGTGTTCGAATCTTAGCTTCATCTGTCATAGAATGACCAAAGACAAATCACTAACGACTGCTTTGTCTTGGACCACTCGCCCGATAACAAACTGATTACGCGATTGACATACACTAAAATCCTTGTGGTTAGTGTGTAGTTAGTCAAAATGTAGGAGAAGACTATGTAAAATCTTCTTTCCATTTGTATTTTATCTGTATAACTGTCTCTCTACCACAACAACGTAACGACTACATACATTGTATAGTGCGGTAACAAGAGAGAAATGTCCATACGATGGACAATTCCCTAGGTGATGAACAAGAAAGGAAAATCCATAAAACAAGTTGAAATAAATAAGAATACGAGAAAAGAAAAAGTCCAACATTTGTATGTGACAGAAAGGGAAGATACCTATCGATACAAGAAGAAGAAGAAGAAGAAGAAGAAGAAGGAAGATAGAAAAGAAAACAATGCAAAACGAAAGAAAATAGCACGCATCATATCACCTAGACAGTAGCTCTTATGAACTGCATCTGGATAAGGTGCAGAACATAACATATTAAGTAAGAGAACTCTGAATCAGGCCAGCCTTCTGTCTAGAGCTACAGTTAGTAATAAATGTAGGAAAAATATTGAAATTTCGAAAATATTCTCGAACAGTACCCTATAAGGCAAGGTAGTTAAAAGGTGAGGTATTCTTCTTCTTCTTCTATACATAAAATAAATATTTCGTTAAAAACTTTACAAAAGAAAAAAAGTATCATAAATTTAATCGTAAATAAATTCTATTGTCTATTTGTTTGATTCTATAGTTCTGACATAATTGTTCAAAGTCAATTATGTTGCTCAATTTGTCGACTATGTCCATACTTGTTTCTGAAGTTTGAAGACATAGTAAACATAAATTAGGCATATATTTGGTATTTTTCATTAAAATAAATCGTAGAACTTTTTCAGGATCAACACCATTTGTACAATCCACTTCGAAATATTTCATATGACAACAAAGATCAACAAGAAATTGAACTTGTTCCAAGTCATTCATTTGTTTAAGATTAACTTTAGTAATTTTGTTGTTATTTGATAACAAACGAAACGTTCTTGCTTCTTCAACAGATAAACATCGTGGTTGTATCATTGTTAAAGATGATATTACTAATGAATCAAGATTAGGCAAACATTTGATCAGACCAATTAATGTCCCAATGAAAATATTACTGAGAGTAATATTTAAACAAGTAATTTGCACTACAGTTAAAATGGGACGTATCATATCAAAAAAACATTCATTATATTCAGTATTACAGAGATCAATGACAGTTAATTCATTTGTTTCAGAAAATATCATAGAAGAATCAATAGATTCTTGTTGATTGGATATGATACTATCTTGTGTAATATTGTAACCAATTTCAATAATGAAACTTTCATCGTTCTCCTTGTCTATCTGAAAGAGACTTCTACTTTTCCTAAAAAAAACCAGACACAAAAATCATTTACCAAAATAATTCTTTTCAATAAACCTGTATGGAAAAATGGAATAGACAATAACATTATCGTTCTGAGAGTTTGTATCGATAGAAATTCTAAAGAACCATTTACGTTTTATCCAAAATAGTGAGTTGAATTCATTAAGTCTTTCATGGCAAATAGTTCCTTCTAACTCTTCATCAATAGGTTCTTCATATTTAAAATCAAATACATTTAACTGAAGTAAATGTTGTGAAATTATTTGTTCCCATAGATTAGCATCTAAATAAGTCACATCGTTGAAACTATTGATACGTAATACTTCTAATTGAGGTGATACCTTGGTAAGAAATGTTTCTAATTCATCAAACTCTGCATTACACCTAGCAATGGAAATACAAGTTAGACTGATTATCATGTTGAGTCCATCTTCTATGATATTTTTCTTCGATTCATTCACTTCTTCACAAGTTAGACGATGGAGTTGGGGTGTATATGAAAGTATAGCAATTAATTCATCGACACTACAACAATGATCAATAACGAGATATTTAATACCACTAAATTTCTCTTTAGATGCTATTGATAAAGGAATAAACGATTGAGGTGAAGAGCATGACAATTTATAATAGTTTAACATGGGTAAATTAAAAATTGTCTGATATATATTGCTAATCTGTTTGAGATCATCATAGTAATAGACAGTCAATGAGAAAAGACGAGGTAAAGAGATCAAATTTGTAATAACAGGTATAAGTTCATTTGATTTGATATTACCTAATACCAGTGATTCAAGCTGATTAAATGTTGAATCGATACAAAATCGTGTTAAATATGAATTATAGTGATGATAGTTGACCAAAGTAAGTGAAATAATTCGGTGTTTGTTCGGAGCAATAATGCTAGTAGAATAATAGTGTAGGATAGGTTCTGGATGAAAACGAAGTTCAATCTTTAGTCGAAGAGATGAGCAAGTAAGCAGAGCTTGAAAACGATTATTGAGATTTAAAAACGCTTTATATAATTCACAACCATCAAAATAATCAAAAATTTCATAGAAAAGTTCATTTGATAAATCTTCGAAACAACTAACTATTTTTCTATAAAATAAAATAAAAGATGAAGCTAAAGATATATTTCATTTTTCCTACTTGTCATCAAGTGTTGCTATTGAATTAAAGATAAATAAAAATATATTCTATAATAATGCCAATACGCATAACTTACTTCGAAGTTCTTTTGCTTCGTTTTCAGAAGATTCACTAGAAGTTAATCGTCGTTTAAATCGAAACATACGTGCTTGAAAATAAAATTTATCTGAAAGAATATTTAATTGTATAGCATTGATTAACTATTTTCAATTATGTCATATTGTTTTTGTCTATATAAATAATAATCAGGTGGAATTATCTAATTTTACTAAGTTTTCTAAAACACGTTCACATTTAAGAAAAAAAGAGAATCAATACAGGTTCTATTAATGTGACATAATTATCAGTGAAGTATCAATTTTTCGTACTTGTTCGTTTTCTCGTTCTTCGTTGCTTTTATATCCAATATTCAAAGTGAGTCATTTGTAATTGTTGTTTTGCGCCAGTCAAGGTAAAATCCTTGTTGATTCACTTGATAGTAGGAAAAAAAACACATTTATCTAGTCTTAAATGACATCTGATTTATTTGTATATTCAATTACTCCAATTATTATTGATTAAAAAGCTGTTTATTTATTGTATTGTATGGGTTAATATTTTATTGCACTTTAAATAGAAACTCCTTTTTTTTTTTATTGAGCCAACTACAAGTAAAATTTAGTTTAGAAAACGTTAAATGATGTCATAGGAATCATATATGATATTCGTCCAACTGCGTCAAGCAAGTAGTAGCGTAATCAGATGAAAAAAAGAATCAATCCTATTAGTTTTTTCCCAACATATACATATTGTGTATTTCCCTACAGGTTATATGACATATCATAACGGTATATTTCCATTTTATTAATGTACACTAGGTAAAGGTTTTTTCTCTTCTTACGCGTTATACATATATGCATATGTTCTCTATCGTGTCTGCCTCTTTTTACGTTGTTCTTCTCCTAATATACTGCATGATCAGTGTTATTGAATAAAATCGAACTTACATTCACAAATTCAGCTAACTTATAAAATCTATTTCAATGGAGCTGGATGATGAATAAGAAATTTAGAAAGTGAAACAGTTAGTTTATTTAAAAATAAAATAACATAAGCGAATTAAAAAGTGAACTAAGCTTGAAGTTTTGTCTGCATACATATCTTGTGCTAAAATTTGAAAATACTGTGATACAATTGAAAAATTCTCTGATAAGATAAACAAAGTAAATTTGAAAAATTCCAATATGAATATGTTAGTAGACTATACAGGTGAGACGCTTTATGATCACATGATCACTATATTGCATCAACAATAATTATTATTTTATCGTGAAAATAAAATTTGAACTTTAGATAAAATAAATCGGTACTTTTCATATTCGAATTAGATCTTATTAAATATACATATGAATGAGTAATAATCATGCAGTTTTACAGTATTAATTTGATTTTCTAATTATGTTATTGTTTCGTCGACAAATTTTTATTCATTCAGCAGAGCGTATTGCAATTATTAAACATTTAGTACACAAGTTAAGAAAAAATTAATTAGAGGCGTAATGGATTTTCACTTTTTAAACAGTGATGTGACGCTGTTGAAGTGAATCACTATTAGTACTTTATAAATGATGATGATTTAAACAGGATGCAGCTGTCGCTGATAATACAGGATATGAGTGTCCATGCTGGTATGAATTACGATGAAACTAAAATCTACATCTTGGTTGCTACCTCTTCTGCTTTTTGTAGAAAAGTTCGACTTTTTCACTTTTTTTCGCGCTTCTCATTTATGTATATTAGAAATTTTGGCTTATTTTTTCATCGAAAAATTTGAGACAATAAAATCTGTTCTTATTACGTAAGTTGATTTAGCTGTCGTTCATACTGTATTATTGTCTATATGATTCATTTTGTGTTATATTGCGATAAATAATATCAATGTCGAAAGTTTTTTTCGAAAATGAGACATTTGTCAAATGATTTTGATAATTCAATGTCTGTAGATTTAATTGGCGCAGTTCTCTAAAAAACAAATTGCTAACCGAAAACCATCCTAATAGTAAATGTAACTATATTCAAAAACTGGTACACTTAATAAAATATCCATCTTCTTCGTGCATTATTTATTATGTTGTGGAACTTTGAGAATAAATAAATGCTATAGAAAGAAGCAAAAAGTTACTTAAAGCAATAGAAATGTGAAAAGTTCCCACCCTCAGAACAGCTTTCCATATTGTTTTCGACTTTTTGACTTGAAGAGATGGCAATCCTGACCGACATCTACATCTCTTCTTGTACAATGCTATTATTTTAAAATAAGCAAACACTTTTTGTATTATTTGTATTTCTAGATTAAATTTTAATAAGTAACTCATGATTCTTAGTGTTCTTTATTACTTGTGCCTTAACTTGTTGATCAAACGAGAAAAAAAAACTGATAGTTTAATCGCTATGAATTAAAATACGAAACATGATGTAGCTGCTCTTGCTTGTCTCAGGGGAATTTATGTATTTTATCTTTTTTTGAACGTATGCCTTCATCATCTTTTTAGTTAATCCACCAAAAATCTAATAAGTAACTGATACGCATATTAGAACGAGATCTTATTGATCTATGGTCTTTGATTTTATATCAACAATGTCTTACATGATCTTGGACGGAAAGAGAGACGTTGTTAAGGTGTCTGTCACGATCTATAGGAAACGTAGTGGAAAATGAATGAAAATTTCTACTCCATATATTTCAATAGTTCTTTTATTCCAATATCAAAAAAGATGAAATGACCAATAAATTTCGAGTACATAACATTTATATAAGTTCAATTAGTGTATGCATTCAAACTCCATAATTTCCATATATCAAATAAGTCATCTTCAATAGACTTCAAATAAAATCTAATATCAATTATAAATAATCTATTAGACTTTAGAAAAACAAAATGTGTACCAATAAGATTGATTAATGATTAATACGTATATTATTAATATTACATAGAAATTAACTTTGTACTGTAAAATGATTTGAAAATTTTCATGCAAAAATTTCGTAAATTTTAATTTAAATATAAATAAGTTGGGTATATACAGAAGAGACATCAATAGATCCCATCAATCAGCATTTAAATATAATACATTGATACACACGGATCTTCATTATAGTTTTAAGTTAGATGATGTTTTTCTTCTCTTGAATATTTGAAAATCGACGAAGTTCAGATAATACTCACGAAAGGATTGTTCAAAAGGTTTCACTTTCTCAGTAAATTGGTTTTATCTGTGACACATTACTATGTCGTTGATTGATTGAAATATACAAGTTTGTAGAGAAAAGAAAAAACTATCATTTGACAAAAAGATACTTCGAAATGCATAAATTTTCTACAATGTTAAGATAATTTTATTAATCTTGAATAAACATTTTCGTCGTACTTCTTTTTTTTTTGAAGAAAATAAATAATAACTTATTTATACAGTCAGAAGAGACCGGATAAAAAGTCTAGTACATTTTCAGGTAAAATTATTCTACCCACTTATCTAAGGGAGTTAAGTGAGAAGTGAATAGAAAACAGTTTTGGTCGAGAAAAATGTTCCATCGATTTATATAATGTTGAAGATTCAATTTGTCTTCGAGGAACATCTAACGAGGACGCTTTACCTGATTAAAAACTGTGGAGTTCAAATAATTAAAAGGTCATTACTCTAGCACAACCTCCATGAATTCATTTGCCCTTTAACTTTGATCGGAATGCTAAATTTTCAAGGCACAGTGCTTTTGATTTACAGAAAATAGGAAAGAATCTTGTGCTTTGTAAACTTGGTATCTTGAGTAAATTTGTATAATGATAAGCGAATTCTTTGAAGATTGTGGTAGTGTAGTGTCCCACTCCTAGTTTTTTGCAGGACATTAGCTCAAAATCTTGTGGCCAGGTGAACGGCTTTCCTTAGATGTTCCTCAAAAACTGGTTGCATCTTCAACAATAAATATTGATAATTCATTTTTCTCCACTAAAGCTATTTTATGCTCACTTCTCGTCTCACTTGCTTAAAATAGTAGAAAAAGAATTTCAGATATGTGCAGCACCCTCATACACTCACTTCAGACTATTTTTAACACAATATTCACTCAAGAATTAAAAAAATGACCATACCATATTTCGAGGCATTTTTGTGTGAATCTCACATATTTGACGGAGAAAAATAGCAAATGTAAATTATCGGGACAATTTTTCCGCTTCCACTGCCTCGAAAGCAATCGGATTCCAAACGTGACGGTGAGGATATCGATCAATGACTTTAACGTCATTCCTAAGCATATCAACGCTGGTTCAGATGCTTCGAATCGACTTTCGCAATCGGATCCCAAGGTCAGAGGAAATGTTTACATAGCAACTAAAAGACAGCAGGCATCAAACTTCTTTTCTACAATTCCTTAGCAACGGTTTACTTTATTTTATTTATTTTCTAATAAGAAATTAAGAAATATATTATCCATTCGGTGTGATATCAGTTACTTATTTCGTAATTTCTTTCTTCAATCATTATAAAAATCCTAAATGGTAAGTTGTTAGTAAATGTTTGGGTGAAGCTGTGAGGGAGAGTCTTCTCTTCGAACAAATTACCATCACACCTACACCTCAAGTACTCAACCAGTGCTTTATTTTATACATTGTTTGAAATAACAAGTGACTATAAACTTCTTTACTACAGATGACATGTGAATTTCATTAAGAACTTTACAAAAGAAAAAAAGTATCATCAATTTAATCGTAAATAAATTTTATTGTCTATTTGTTTGATTCTATAGTTCTGACATAATTGTTCAAAGTTAATTATGTTGCTCAATTTGTCGACTATGTCCATACTTGTTTCTGAAGTTTGAAGACATAGTAAAGATAAATTAGGCATATATTTGGCATTTTTCATTAAAATAAATCGTAGGACTTTTTCGAGACCAACATCATTTGTACAATTCACTTCGAAATATTTCATTTGAGAACAGAGATCAACAAGAAATTGAACTTGTTCCAAGTCATTCATTCGTTTAAGATTAACTTTAGTAATTTTGTTGTTATTTGATAACAAACGAAACGTTCTTGCTTCTTCAACAGATAAACATCGTGGTTGTATCATTGTTAAAGATGATATTACTAATGAATCAAGAATA